AAAGTCACACAGGTTGGACTACAGGGACGTTTATTAATTTGTGTTACTTGAATTTTTACAATAATCATTTCTAATGACCTTTAATTGGAGAGAAAGATGAAAAAAACAGAGTTTCATTGACCCATTAAATATTCATTTTATCGGGTATAAAGTCATCGGTTGCCAAGTGGCCCATGAAATTTGACCTGGTAATATTCTTTTATAAAATCTAGTAAGAGAAGATAAGACAGAGTCCTCAGCAGTGAATTTAAGTCAATCTACATTATCAAATTAAATTGTGACATAAGTTCTAGGACTCGAAAAATTTTCTTATTTCTTCAGAGCAATAAATATTTTTTAACACTGTGGACTAGATAAGCATTTCTTTTGGTTTTGGCTTGTCCTATTTTTAAAATAGCCATCAATTTGTTTTTGCATTTTGCAAAGAGATTTTATCTTTGTAATTTTTAAAACAAACTATATACACAGCATTCTAGGAGAAAAACGGCAAATTAAACACAATTTCTGCTTGTTTATTAATTGCACAAAATAAACATTTGACATTTTGGAAAAGTTCACTCTTTAAACTTAAGATCTATAATCTTAAGTTTAAAATATACACTTAAACATCATAAGTGACCTTTCTTTTTTTTTAAATGATCCTTTAGAAAAGCATAAAATGCCTATACTGTATTAGTTTCCTTTCAAAAGAAAAGGAACGTTCCTCCTTCATGGTCATTTAAGCAATGTTCCAACTATTTCAGCTGAAAGAAAGCCAGAAAGGAAGCGAAGGCTGCGGTGATTTGAAAAGTTATACGGGCAGAAGGACTGGCAGAGTTAACATAAGACTAAACTCTCCAAGTAAATACCAACAAACAGTTAAGAGAGGCAAACAGCTGCAGAAAGCAACTTAGAAACCACTTCTTTGAGGAACCAAGAAATGATGGCTATGTTCAGACTGAAAGTCAAAGCAGATACTTGGGAGAACCATCGGCTTATTTCTAAGACATGAGAAAAATGGCCTCGCTCGCTGCCATATCAGCTTAAAGGCCTCCTGAGATCCTAGACCAGTACTGGTCCTATAATCCTGCAAATTACAAAAGAAAGCAAGCATGTGAGTGTGTTGAAAGTTAAAGAGTGTGTGTATTTAAGTAAAGAGCTAGTGTACACTGGGTACACTAGCTTATTATTTTTTCTTTGTAAATAGCAAATAACTTTAACTGAGGAAAGTGCATTTACCAAGTCAATAAATAATGCAATCAAGTGTTTACATGTAAACAAGACAATGCTTTTCTTCTCCTCCAACAAAAATAAGTCCAAATTATGAACATATGAAAGAACTTACACGTTCTGTTCCTTTCATAGAAACATCTCCCAAAAAAATTTCATTTGCAAATATCAAATGACAGGTGATAAACTTAAAGTCATTTCAGGTACCACTAGGAAGAACAAACCTGCATGTACTAAAAAGTCCAAAAGACATTTAGTTCTTCACAAATTTGAGCGCTAGACGGTCTTTCTGACATCACTTTATGTTAAGCATTCTGAAGAAGTCCCATGTTTCATTATACATAAAAAATTCTCACTAAATTCATTAGTAAACAAGACACAGTTTTCTTACAAGAACACTACATACTCCCAGGAATCCAAAAATGCATATTAGCAGGATCTTTTTAAGTTATAAAATCAGACAGACATCATTTGAGCAAGCCTCTCTCTCACAGTCATAATTCGTATAGGTAATAAAAATCTTAGTACGAACAATCAATGAAGGGTAAAGTGCCTTGTGGTTTTTAAGCAAGAAATGGACAAATGTACAAAAAGAAATGCACTAGTAAGAACTACAAGAGTAATTTTTAAACCAGTTTCTTCATTAAAACTGGAAAAACAGATGCATTGAAGAATATGACTACCAACGTGGAGACTTACAGAAGATAAACATTTTTTTACTGACTGATTAAGACAAAATAATGAAAGTCACCTAGAAGCAACTTTTTAATGAACAGCCACATATTATGGCAATAAGGTATACATCCTTTGGCTTGTATCTATCATGTAATGACATTTTTAAGCTGAATGCTCCTTAAAAAGATCAACCAAAGAGCTAAGGAAATAAATGTAAAACATATATTACAGTCACTGTCTTCAAGAAGTCAGAAGTATTTTTAAAAAGAAAAAAACAGACACATATTCTGTATTAAAATTCTATGGACAACATTGCATAAGGTTCTATAACCTCAACACTAAAAAACAGGTTCCCAAAAGTGTCTTAAGAACACACATTAAGAAAACAATAATCCTGCAGATGGTCACTAGGTTTAACTGCAAGGCTCCTTGATCTGAATGAAGTCGGCAGGTAGAGCACTCACTTCATTAGATCAGACATTCCTTACTAAAATAACCTAGATTAAAGTAGTCCCTTTAAAATTGAGTGTATATCCAAGTACAGGAGGGAAGAAAGTATAAGACGAGTGAAAACTGAAAATTGTCATTGAATCATCATCATACTGCCAAGGATTTAAACTGAAGACAGCATTTGTAAAGGATCAGTTTATAAAAATGAGCAGTTAATTAAAACAATGTTACAACAGCACTTCCAAATGTCGAAAACCATCGACTTTAGGTATTTGGATTAACACTTCAGTCCAAAGCTCTGCCAAGCCTCCTACGAGGGAAGTCTTTGCAAAACGGCCTAACTTTTATTTATCCTCCTGCTTCTGACCTACTTCAGACTCCAACTTTTATAGCATATAAAAGATATCGATATATAGCTGGAAATGCTCAAACTAAAGGAAAAAAAACCCAAACAGGGATATAGTCTCATCTGAAAAATAAGGTGATTTAGGCAGATCACTAAAGTCCTTTCCAGCCCTGAAATTTTATTATTTATCATGATAACACGAAAAAGCTTATCACACACTATATAACTTTAGCTTCCAAAATTCAGAGATGATGGTTTTAAAAGCGGGGTGAGGATGGGGGAGTAAAAGATGAATCATTTGAAGCAGATCAGCTATCAAGAGCAGCTCAAAAACGAGTTTGCCTGACCAAGCCCGAGTTCCATGCAGCAGAAACTGAATTCCTGGGGCTGGGGAGTATTTTCCTCCTTCCCCCTCCTATTTTGTGAAAACACTTTTTCTCAACCTGCATGGAGTGCTAAGTTTAGAAACCAATTTTATTAAAATGCTGATTTCTTCTTACAACTTTTCGCATAAACTCACAATAAAAAGTTATCTATCTTTACATTCAATGACTTATCTCCAATTGACAATATTAAAAGCAATTTCAATTAGCAAATATTCATTTGAATAAGCTGTACTCTTAAACACCAAAAATTATATTATGAGCAACTGAAGTTGTACATAAACAATGAACTTTACTAACTTTTTAATGTGTTTGAGCAAAGGGTCCACATCAGATCATTAGAGCAAGCAAGCCGACTTAACTCTCCTAACGCTGTTTCCTCATCGGGGGCAAAAAAAGGCATAATGCAACAATCATAAAGATTAAAGAAATCATGTGTGCAGCGTATCTAGCACTGTGCCAGAAATCAAGATCACTCATAACTTTTATGATTAATGTGAATTAGGCTTTCGATAGCATTTTGAGATTTGTAAAGGGTGGCAAAGTCAGTGTTCCATGTGTTTCTACTTTATTTCTCCTATTGCCAAGATTTATTCCTCTAGTGAGAAAAAAAAAAAGTTTCTTTTTCCTTCACCTCAAAATTTCCAAAAGGTCACCAGACCAAACTTTCAAAAGAATTACTTTAGAAGCCCCATGCTTATCTCTTTTAAGAACGTTCTGTCATTGAAAGAATCCCTTTCACCCTTGGTACATTAATAAAAAGTCATTACCTCCAACACATAGGTCCTGACCTGTCTTAGATAGTGCGGAGGTATTAGCAGCATAGAATACATATTCATACAACTGCAAGTCGGAGCTTTAAAGAGCTGTAACCTGACAAAAATGCATAAATGACTAAGAATCATTCCAAGTCATGTGTCACCATCAAGACCACCATACCATCGCTGAAGTCATCACTAGCGTTAAGTGTCTGTAGCATAGGCGGGGCTACTGTGACAGCACTGACAAGTCTTTGAAACCAGTGTGTCACACAGTCGACAGGTCTCATACTACAACAAATTATTCCTTGATTACCATAATATTATATTTAAAATGGCTACTCGTTGAAAACATTATCTTAGAACAAATTCCACTGTTAGGATGCTTCCCATGTTTCAACACTCAGGTCAACAATCATCTAAATTCCAAATCACTTTATTGCCTGTTTTGCTTAGACACCCATTCAGATAGCATTCCACAGTCTATGCCATGTCTTCCTACATAAAACCAGTACTTAAACAGAAATGCTTCGACCAAAGTCCTACTGATTGGCCCTATGCTGTTTAATCTTCTGCCATTTTCTTTTCATCTTGTTGCCACTGTGTTTTAATGTGTTAATGAATTATGTAACCACAGATTTATTGCCTTTCTTTGAAAATAAGATTTCTTGGAATGATTAACGATTAAGATCTCATTCATTCAGAAATGCTATAGAAAAGGAAATTACGAACTCTCAACACTGAATTTAAAAATTCTATAGAAAGTGCCTTGGAATTTGAACAAAATGTAAAAAACAAAAAGGAAACATTTCTTACAGCATAGCTGATTCATATTAAGAGGGGAAAGACAACTGTGGGTCAGAGAGCTTGCTCTAAATAGTAATCTGATAAGGACCTTAAAGAGTACTTAATTTCAAAGGTTTTTTTGTTTTAATCAACAGTCTTATAAAAATCCAGGAAATCTACCTAGCAACAGTGACAGTGTATCAAAAACACTAGAGCTCTGTTACAGGATAGCTATTAGTGTTCCCTAAGCTAGCTATTAACAGTTGTACATTAAAAAGAAACGGCAATAAAAAGATGGCCACCCCAAACTCAGTGCCCCCCTCTCAGTACCCAGCCAACATCCCGCAGCAGAAACCAGAATGCACTGCCAGTCACGGCAGCGCGAGAACCAACCTCCCTGGTCCCGCGCAATGAGCTCACAGAAGTCAGGATGTGCACAGGCTGGATCCTTCGCTGCTTCCACTCCTGGTTTAAGATTTCCGTTCTTTCCACAATTTTCTGACGATTGGAACTAAACATACTCTTTAAAAATATGAAGGAGAGGAGAAAAGAAATGGTTCAGTGTTAGAAAATCTGTAATATCTCTACTGCAGGTTAAAACCTAGTGATTTCTCAAAAGTATCAGGAACATTCCCTCAAATGTGTATTTTGCACTAAACTGTAGTTTCCCACATTCAAATAATATAAAAATACCACACTTATTATCTTATTGCAAATGGGAGGGGAACAGGAAATCATTTCCATCCTTTGTTAACTTTGTATTAAAAAAAATATCGCAATTACTTTAGAAACATTAAAACCATGTAACTCTTTGTATTTGGGTGCCAAGTCTACACATGCAAGGCAAAGGTATATTAAAGAGTGATTGCCGAGTGGGGTGAAAATCTTTCATTGCACATTATCATTAGTGTGCACGGGACAATGTTTCCATTAAGACAGATTAAGGGCCTGAGCTTCCAAGTCCTCATTTATCTTACTGTAAATGTGACCTTGGCTGAAAATGTACCCTAGCAAATTAAAACTTATCTTTAGGGGGGGGAAAAAACTATCTTTAATGGCATATATGTTTTCACAAAAGATAAAGTTATACCTTTACTTCATCAGCTCGCCTGAACCTCTTGAGTTGTCGCAGTCGCATGTACTCTGATTTTACACGCTTCCGCCAACAAACTGGTCCCTTCTCAGATTTCTTCCCAGTCTGGCCCATGATTATTCTAAAAGCAATGGTTTCATGTTAAAATCACTAATCTACCAGCCTTAATATGACCACTTGTGTTTTAATCCTCAGCAAACTAATAATCAGCAGAAGAAATAATACACTGTTGATATTTGCATAAGAATGCTCATTTGTTCTGTATGGTTAAATCCTTAAAACATTTCATTCAAAATATTATAACTTTTCATTTAACACAACTTTTAAAGATACTTTTTACAAAGATTTCCCACTCCTAGATAGCAGCCGTCTTACAGAAATGTGATCCCATCACAGCATTTAAGTATACTATAATAAGCCAGTTTTTAGTCTATGAGGTCCACACTGTAGAGCAAGAAAAAAATGTAGAAACACTAAGTTTTCATCATTGAATTTCAGGCATAAATGAATAATATAACTGAAAAAGATAAACAAAAGAAGTAAAACTTACATATAGCACTAAAAGTAGAAACAGTACAATATATAATAAGTGTACAAACTTAAGTAACCCCCTACACACACTTTTAAACCATGATTCTCACCTTAAACCCCGTGATAAAAGTCTGTATTTTTGCCTCACATGAGGGTTTCTCTGCCAGCACAAGAAAAAAGGAATGCAGCAAATGCAAAGTAAATTCTTCTGCCTTATCTTCAGTTGCAGGCTCTGGGAACCAATTATGTTAAAATGTGGGGACAGCCTATAGTTCACCAGATGCCTAATTCATACTACCGAGTCCCCACTTTACGTCTAAATAAGTGTCCTCTTCTGGAACATTTTCTTCTCAAACTATTAAAATCATACTTGTATCTTCAAAAGATTAGAACATTTCTCAAAAAATAATGTAATAAAAAAGAACATTTCTCTGTCAGACAGTACAAAGGTGCCACGTTAAGGATTTCTGCTTTAATTTATCTAAGAGCAATGGAAAGTGATTGAGTTTTAAGTAAAAGGCAAGGGGAGGTTTCCGTTTTGGAAAGACCAGCTGACAAGCAGCAGCACAGGAGCTGGAAGGGAGGTAAGGGAAAAGAAAAGCGCCGGTGAGGCCAGGCGAGGCTGCATTCAGGACAACCTCCAGACAGGCAGCGACAGCAGATTCTACTACCAAACTGGTAAAGGAAGAGAAAAGAAAATGAACTAAAGAGTTACTCAGGAGAAAACATGGTAATGATTTAAACACAGGGGAAGATGGCTTTCTGGCTTGAATAACTGAGTAGGGTTTCATTTACCTGTTTACATAAAACCCTCAGAGGCATAGAGAAAACTGCCTAAGGAGACAAGATTTAGAGGAAGAAAAAGAGTCCAGAGGCCAATGGGTAACTTTCTGTAAGAATACTCAACCACCAAACAATGACAAAGAAAGTCACTTCGGAGCTGCTGGAAGAGGGGCAGAGAAAGCACGTAATAAAGGACTATTATGAACCAGGCAATGAACATACAAAGCTGAATGAAACACGCAATGTGTCCTTACGAAGTTTATGTCCTACGTAAGAAGACCAAAAAAGAAGAAAATTCTTTACCATGTGACATAGACACCAAATGTAGTGGGGGGTGGGGCTGCAGAAGGATAGCAGGAAAGGTGACAACTCAACCGAGTGGCGCGATGGTTAAGAACTGGCTTGGGACGCCAGAGGGCCCGGGTTCGGATCCCACATATGAGGCCAGTGACACTGCCCTCCACAGCTAAGATGCTGAACAACAGCTCAACCTGGAGCTGGGCTGCCGTGAGTCGCCGGCGACGGCGTAGGCTGCAGCCCCTGTGACAGTGGGTTGCCATGGGCTACCATATGTAGCCAGCAGTCAGCGTGAGCGGCCAGCAGCCGCAGTGAGCGACCGTCCAGAAGCCGGTGACTGATCTGCCTCGTCCGGGAAGAGCGTAATGATGGTGTCAACTTGGGCCAGTGAAGCAACGTCCTCCACAACTAGACTGAAGAACAAAACGACAGCAATGTGTCTGTTCCCCTTCCCCCAATTCCCCAGCATTGTTCCCATCCCCCCAATTCCCCAATAAAAAATCTTAAAAAAAAAAAAAAAAGTTGAGATGGGTTTCAAAAGGCCAAGAAAGAATAAAAGGGACTCTGAGGTGTGTGCAGACATACGTGGAGACGCCTGTGCAGCCCGAGGCCTGGCTGGTAGACCCTGCTAACAAAAGTGGATGCCAAATTTGGTGAAGACACAAATTACAAGGACTGAGAAAATGAGAAGAATGAAGAGATTTCCAAATCTGAGATAAAGACAGTTGAATGAGATCAGAGATAGGTCTGTTCCTTGTGAAAAGGTTAAAAACTCGGCCTTGCCTGTGGGTTGCTGAGAAGTGGAGCGAAGGTTAACAAACAGTCCCTAGAACTGAGAAGACTAAACTCAACCAATTGATGGGTCGCTGAGGTAAAGAAATGAGAAGAAAGCCAGGAAGACGTGAGGGAGGGCAAAGAGACACTCAAGTTAGGAAGTTGGGAACAAACCGGAGCTTCATTTAAAAAAACCTTTGTGGCAATGTTTGCTTTGTATCTGCTAGTTAACAGAGGACTACAGTAATTCCATGCAAATTTACACATTTTGCACTTCAAAGACCCAGGCATCTGATAAAAAGGGATTATCTGCTGTTCATTAGCTCATAAACTATTTCACAACTAGTCTCATCTGCCTGCCCCCTTGACAAATTCTTGGTCCTTGGAGGCAACAGCCCCATACTTGATACAACCCACAGCAGGAACAGGGAACGGAGTTTTCATGACTGTGCAATGAGGGTGTGAGGACAAGTCACTATTTTAAGGTGCCCACAGTCTGTCTTGGTGAAGAGGTCTCATTCCATCTGTCAGCCTTGCGTGTTTCCGTACCAGGGACGTCAGCAGCCCCCTCCTCGTCCAACATGCTGGGACACCTTCATGTGGTTTCTACCATCAGTGACAATAAAGTATGTCACAACAAAACAGTCTCTGACCAAAGGTTTAACTGAACTAAACCAACTGGGAGATCAACAACAGAACATTTCAAAACTGAAGCTGGAAATCACCTCTCTGGAAAAAGAGTATACACGGATAAATTTCCATGTTTATAAATTTCACAAAGCTCTTCCAAACAAAGTACATGAGTGAAGGTTTTAGGCTATAGGATAAGCTGGTAAATGAGCACAATAGAGAGGAAATGAGAAAAATCAGAGTAATTCATTTAGGAGAAACTATGGAAATATAAGGATCATCACCCCTGAATTATGAGCTAAGAAATAAATCTAAGTGTTCAGGCTGTTCTTTGAACGTATAGGGATAAACAGGCAGATTCATGACAAAATAAAACTTAAGGCACCACTGAGAAGGATGTTTTACATAAAACAATGCCCACTATCATAGCATTTTATAACATGTTAAAATCACATTTTTGTGTTTTTCACTCAATTTCACCCCCACGTAAGTTCTTCGGTAGCAAGAACCATTTTTATTTCATTTATAAAACCCCAGAGCCTGGCTGCGTGTTTGGCAGACAGATTTAAAAACAAAACAAAAAGGTCTGTTAACATGCACTGGTCATGAGTTGCCCACCAAGTCTAGCTGTGCCACAGTCTGAAAAGGATGGCTGGCACCACGCCTGAGCAGAGAAAAGGAGGGTGATGGACCCCACTACCAAGAAACACCAAGAGATGAGTCTCAGGAACAACAGGACCCTGGGTTCCAGCTCCCTGACTAATCAAGCAAGAGTTCTGAGTAAAAACCTGGAGCTTCCGGAATTTCTTTCTATTAAGGAGAGTGACGCTGCCTTGAAGACCTTATCCAAACAAGGGGGATGCCACCACCTACCTGGGGGCTGGTTACAAGCAGACTCACCCTGCTCGAGGCCCAGCAGGCAGGCAGTTAGCTTTCAAAGGTTAGTTTCCTGAGTGCCCTTCCCAGGGAACGGCAGTCTCAAGTCAGGTTTCTGATTCCGTTTTCCACTACACCCGAGCCCACTAAGCATTAAGATACAGCTCTGAATATTTGTGTATTAGCAGAAAGAAACCTTTATTAAAATGACTTGCCACTAAAAGGATGGGGGATTTGTGAATACACCCAATTTTTAAATTTCTCAATCACAGGATTTGTTTTGTTTCATAGGTAAAACAGCACTAGGTATGATTTTTATCCAGGATATGAAAACGGCTTCTCTTATTCAAAACAGATTACAGTGTAGCTGAAGTCATTAAAACAAGATTCTACCTATATACAGTGAAACCAAGACAACAGTTACAATTTAATCCAAAAGACAAACCAGATTATGGCAGGGGACCATCAAAACCTTAATACAATATAGTGAGGCCTTATAGAATAAAATTAAGGAAAATTACATAGTCTAGCGTGTATTTTATGAATCAAACCAAACTCAAATATCTTGACTACAACGCCCCTTGTTGCCTAGCTTTGTCCCACTAGAGCAGACACAGGGTTGGTTCTGCTACCCACATCAATTCACCCTCTCTGAAACTTCCCACCATCCCTTCTGAGGACCATCCTCCATGGGAGGCAGCCCGGGGTGGCAGGCTGGACGAGGCCCCCCACTCCTGCAGACAGTCCCCAGTTCAGGGTTGGACCCATGAGCAGCAGCAGAGCAGCCACAGGGAGAATCTCAGGAGGGTTCCTGCAACTTGAGGACAAGCATGCCCACTCTTTTCCACTTAGATCTGAACCTGATAACATGTTGTCCAAAGAATTGCAGGGAACTTGCAATCACAAGACAAGAGCCGGCAAAGACAGAGTCAGCAACAGAAAAACACCCAAAGCCAAGAAAAGGACTCTCGTCCCATCTCTGAGCCCTAAAGCAGGCATGCTATGCTCTGCCAAACCAACTGCAGAACTGTTCAGTTCTGCAAACCAAGAAATTCCCTTTTCTTTGTGCTGAGACCAGTTTGGATTAGGTTTCTGCCACATGAAATACAGAAAGGGTCTAAGCTAGATTCTCAGTATCGGGGTTGTATGCACTATGCGCCTGAATTAAAAGATGGGTTCTCAGGACCGAACTCCTCGCTGTCAATGCCATCAGCAGCAGCAGCCTTTACA